ACACACACACACACACTCACTCACTCACACACACACACACACACACACACACACACACACACACACACTCACACGCACACTTCTACTCTGTTGGTATATATATAGATATAGATACGTGTGTGTGTCTGTATGTGTGTGTGTGTCTGTATGTGTGTGTGTGTTCGTGTGTGTATGTGTGTGTGGGGGGGATGGGGGTATTTTTGGGAGGGAGCAAATAATATTAGTTGGAATAATACTCCTGTCTCTTTCTCTTACTCTCACTTCCCTTTGCCAGACTCCCTCTCGCTTTTTTCTTTCTTACAGCTGTTGTCTTACAGCCACACCCTTGGTCTTAGGATTGGTAAGATCTGAAGCCTAGCCTTCTCGGGAAAAGGCGAAAAAAGTTTGGAGGTCCTGTGTGCAAGTTGTGCGCGTTAAGGATCCCTTGGTGGTCCTAAAGTCGATAGGAGTAGGCTTCGGTCGCCACCGGGGCAAAATTCAAAATTAATTCCTACCAAACTGAAAGTAGTTAATGTGTCACACGCGCGTGTATAATGACCGTATGCAATTAATTGCAGGCGCTATAAAACTTGCCAAAAATGTAGGAAAAACGGTTACGTAGTACAAGTACGTAAAAAAATCAGCTGCACTGCAGGTTGAAAAGCAGCAGTTGGATACCCTACCCCTGAGATCTAGCAGGGGGAACGTAAAGAGGCAGAAGAGGAGAGCGGCGAGGTCAAAAGTCTACCATGCGTGACATTTCAAGCTTGAGCAGTGATTTATTTTTCCCACGCACGGTAGAATTTTCATTGCACAGGAAATCGTGAGGAGAGGGTCTAACTGTTAAGTCTTTGGAAGCTGCAGCCGCTTACTTCAGAGGTTGCATAGGGGAAGGCTAAGTATCTGTGTCAGTAGAGTAGCGTAAAGAGCTTTGTTGTCAGACGCAGAAGACCACCCCCCCCCCAAACCAGGGCAGTGCTACTACTACTACTACTACTACTACTACTACTACTACTACTACTACTACTACTACTACTACTACTACTACTACTACT